TGTGTTGTATTCTCAGAATTAGGTTTATGATATAAAATATAGTTTAATTAAACATGAGTAAGCATGTCATGAAATCCCAGATGTTTTATTTCAGTCTACTTCATGGATTGTTATGAGGAAAAAAAATCTGGTGACCAAACCACTCTGGGTCTTTGAGCCTGGAAAAGATAAAATTTATCATTAAATATATTTATATAGGTAGATTCTTTTTTAAAAACAATCATCCTGTTTGCAATTAATGAGTAATATGAACAGGAAACTATGGATTCATCATTTTCAAGAAGTCAACTTTCTCTATGCTTGAAAAGTTATTAAGCGCTGACAGACTTTTCTCACATCTACTCATTTTTCAATCCCACTTAAAGTAATGTCTCCTAAGGAATTCTGAAACTGAACAGAATTATTGTTATTTCTTGTAAACACATTCTCTCTATTTCCCTCTCTTCCTTCCTTCCCTCTCTCTTTCTCTCTCCACAGAGAAAGGAGGGGGGAGAAAGAGAGAGAGAGAGGGAGAGAGACTTATCACTCTTAAGAGATTACTGATCCTTGACACCAAACAGATCCAGGTAGCTTGTCAATAGTAAGGGAGGGAGTTGCATTCAGTACCATCTTCTGGAACGCCACAATTTCTCCACCCCATCCATTCATATTTTTCTTAAGTTACTCATCTCAGAGCCCGCTTGACTGCATTCTTCTCAATAAATATTGACACTTCTCATTGTCTACTGCTAATTCGCATTCCCTCCTCCCCCACTAATGTAGTACTGCACAAGTCCTGACTTTTATGAAACTAAGATTAAAAGCAGTCCATAGTCAACAGGAATAAACTTCTTAGCTGCTTGAACTGCCCAAGCATGCTTGACATGAAAGCTCTTATGGGATCCCAACATCCCATATCTTGGGGTATCTATCCCAATATAAGGAGAAAATGAAGAATCCTTGATTTAAAGAACTGTGGTCCCTCTCTAGTAAACTTCTTAAGTGGACAAGGATATTCATAGGTTAATTTCCTATACAATGTTCTTTACACCTGAGGTAAAGAACAAATGCTCCTTTGAATCCTGACATATACTCATTTTGTACAATATTTTTTTTAAAAATCTGATTGATTTGAACCCTCTGTAAATCATAATCATTAACCCAGAAGTTTGAGCATTGCACAGATTAATATGGTAAACAGAATTCTTTGGCAAGGCAGCTCTGTGATGTGAGAATGGCCAACTATGTCAAATAAAGCTAGGTGGGAATTCTATCTTTATTTTGCATACCAAATCAGAAAGGGTTAATTTTCTCTACTGGCCTCTTTGGTGGACTTGCTGTCCATTTTCCTGCTGATGATTAGAGTCTTCATGGCTATTAGGTTGGTTTGAATAAGTTCTTTGTGAATTAGAGTTTTCCCACATCCCTCCACAAGCTGAGCAGTCGCGTGTCCTAAGTCAGAAAGGAGTTGGAGCTATGAATTCTTAAACCTGATTTTTAAAGTGTTTTTTCCTAGGGAAAAAAAAATAGACATCTGCCTTGGAGGGGATTCACTAACATCTGCCATATTTATTTTTGTTTTGTCTTCTAGTTTCAAGCCTCTTTTTCTTGTCATCTTAAAAAAGTGTAGGAACAGATGTTAATGCTGTTTTCTTTTAAAATAATGTGAAATATTCACACATACTGAAAAACAGGAAGGAGAGTTAAGATGAATCCTCCACTGCTTTAGGAAATTCAGAAAAAAGGACTTCAAGGCTTTTTCTTTTTCTTTTTTAAAAACCCAGCATTGAGCAACATAAAAAGGAGAAGAAAGCAAATCACAGAGTAGACTCTTGAATAACATGCTGACACATTTGCATATGCACTTCTATTTCCCACTCAGTTACACAGACAAATGTCATACTTTGCCTGAATGAGAATAATTACATAGTTTTCCAAATTTCAATGCTATCCATAAATGCAAAATAAAAAATAATCTCCAGCTAAAGATATTCAGTATCATTCTATAGTTCCTCCAATATATGAATAAATTCTTATGGAAACATAGTAATCACATGGGTTAACATATCTTGACCTACAAAAGTAACATATTTGGAATCATACAGCTTATACAGCAATAAGGGACACAGTAGATGCATGGGAGATTTTTAGCTGGATATATCTTTTTTTTTAATTTAACAGATATATTGGAATTTTATAGTTTGGACTGAACTTGCAAAGTTGAAAGTTTTTTTTAATAATTTGTTTGGTTTTGATTTAGTATGATTAGGGAGCCCAATCAGTATAGGTTGTGAGCCGTGATTCATGCCTTAATATGGCACATCAGTCAAAAACTCTTTGTGAATCCAAGCAATTCTGCTAAGTCAAATAGGGGTAAAAAATGTACCACATACTATTATGTGGCAGCTCAGCCACATAGCACTATGATGTCATTAGTAGTCGGTAGTCCAAAGTTTCTCTCCTGAATGCAGAAATAATGGAGCCTGTTTTTATTTCTATTATTTAAATACTAGATTAGATCTTTATTGGAACTAAGACAAATAACAGACAAAAATGTGTTTCTAAATAAAAGTCCCATACCCTGATAACATTAAAAATCCATTTCCATAAGAAGCTTTTAAATTATTCCAGTTGTAATTCCAATATATTGACACAACACTACAATATAAATGAAGTTGTAATTACAATAGCCAAACAAAACAATGGTTTGTTGAAATTGTGCAAGTTAAACTAAGTTTGAATTGCTGTTATTTTAATATTTTTCAGAAATGTACATTTACGTGGGCATTGCCCCTAAAAACACCTTGGATCAACCCAAATGGAGACAGCTTTGCCAAAAAGCAGACCCTGCCATAGCACAGGAATAATGCTAAGAAGAAGAAAAAGAGCATGTACCTTTCAATAGTCATTCCTACAGGCCTCACAGTTTAAGGATTGGTATTATAGTATAATTAGGCCATGCTGTGATTTGCTCCTGTGTAACTCATAGATTGGATGCCAAATTGTGATTTTAATATAGATTTTATCTGTTATTTATTATTTTATTCTAATTTTAACTGGATATTCCTTGAGTGTTTTTAACTTGCTCTGGTCTCTGGTCTCTGACCGTAATAAACATTGACTTAACAATAGTCATTCAGCAAATTTCATGTGGCCCAAAAAAAAACACACAGTTTTTGCAATGATCTTTCCACCATGGACTTCTTGACTTTGAATTAGTGCCAAGCTTATTTAGGTTGGAAAGCCACTGAACCATTATATGTTTCTCAACAGAAGTAATTCTATCTAAGATAGTTTTCATTGTTCCTGATTCTGAATAAATATTACTCCCAAATATATCTTCTAGCACTGTAGTCATAATCTATTTTTCAGCAAGTCAAAAACAAAACCACATGTTGAAATTTCTCAGGCCTTTCTTCTTCTATAAATTGTAGGTAATATGGTTAACTCAAGATGAGGTCCTGGATCACCAAGAGTTACAGTAATTTCCTCTCTGCTATTTTCTGAGGTTGAAGAAATATTGATTATATCTACTGACGTGAAGTGAGCCAGAAAAATGTAAAGGCCCCACCATCCTTCTCCAGGATGGAAGAGGTATTACATGTTTGCATGAAGCAAAAAAATGGAAAAAAAGTAAACCAAAAGTTTTTTTTGAAATTCTGGATTGATTGATTGTATCAAAAGTGTAGGAATTAAAAACTCTATGTAAAAAAATTGCCCTTAGTGATATTTTGTCATATAAAACAAAACTTCCCTAAGATAGAAAATCAGTGTCATACTTCTCATTCTTTCTTATTACTTTTTTAAAATTCTTTTTCCAATGGGCATTTTCAAATTCAATCTTCTAAAGTTAGAATTATACTTGTTAATGTTAAATTTATAGATTAGAGAAGTGATTTGTAGAATATATTTATCCAAAAAAATCAATATATTTTTATACAATATGAAGCCATGGTGTTAGCAGATAGAAACTCATATTATGTAACCTTCCTTGATACAAGACATCAAATAATTACATACAGGATTGCCACTGTCCTGAAATCTGTTGTGTTAATTAAGATATGTTTTAATGAATTGGAAAAGAGTTAACTATTTCTTTTTTGCTTTACCATAATTTCTTCAAAGTAAGTTTTGTTTTTAAGATTATTTTATGGTGCATTCAACTTTAAAGATTGGAAACAATTTAAAACAACAATATATATTTTAGATACCTAGGGCTAGTATACATTGATCAGGGGATTAGACGAGAAGATCTCCAAAGTCCCTTCAAACTCTGATGATGATGATGATGATGATGATGATGATGATGATATTCCTAAGAAGAAACTGATGTCCACAATGAAACTTATCTAAAATAAACATTCCTAGGACTGATAATCCTGAAGTCACCTTTAAAGCTACTGATACATGACACTAATTATTAAGTCTGTTGTTAGACTTTGGAGTGCGCATTCTATTTATAAATTATTATTATTACAGAAAAATTCCAGGTTGTGTTCCCCAACCTTTTCTGTGGCAACAAAATAACTTTTCCATCATAGTTTTATAATGAATCAGAAAGTCTATTTGTAGTGAATGAGTAGAAAAAGGAACATCATGTAGCTTCCTCAACCTTCCAAAGAGCAGAAAATAGGTGAACCAAGAAAGATCCATAATCAAAGCTAATATATCAATTAACCTCAGTAGCCCAGGTATTTCTCAGTTGGGTTATGGTTTAGATTATTGGCATTTTTTCCCCTGGGAATCAATGCTGATTGAGAAGGGAGCAAAATAATCTCTGGCACTTGTTTTCTGCCTCCTTAAACAAAAGATTTCTACCAAGCAAAGCTTTCATGAAGCTGGACATCTGTCGCTCTTTAGACACTGTGTGTGTGATCTGGCCATTGATAAGTAGTGACCTGTCAGCCTTGATTGATGTCACAAGCCTCTGGCCTCAACCCCTTCTGTGGGAAAAGGAGACCAGCTAAGCAATTTCCTCATTCACATGCTAATATCCAGCTATAAATGCTAGCAGAGTGCAGCTCTCATGACAGAGAATGCTCCAGAAGACAACGGGAGAAGCCAGTTGCTATAGGGCTTTCTCCCTTTTCTCCCCTAAGCCTTCAGGCAGGCGTGCAGGACTACAATGACAGCTACAACCCTAGCCAGCTGTGGACAGAAACTTTCTAATACCAAAGAGGAAAGGAAGGTATGCATTATTTTATAAATAAATTCACTATAAGAAACTTGCCATCTCTGAAGAGATAAAGTAAGGGTGCCATACTTTTTTCAGTGGCTCTGTGGTGTTGTTAAAAGCTGTCTGCACAGGTATGCTATGTAGGTGTGTTTCTTTGCTTTTTCAAGAATTACTTCCTTCTAATAGGTAATTACTTATCTCCAACCCTTGATAGAAATGAAATCTAAAAGTGCATGCAGCAGGTAGAGAAACCAAGGTAAAAAATATTGTATGTGCAAAAGTGCTGAGGGTGAATCAATCTACTGTATTTATAGATACTGATGTATTTAATATACAATATAACAGTTTGTCTTCAGCTGTAGGATGCAGCAGAAAAATAGAGCTATATGAAAGCAGACTACTTTTGTGGACAGTGCTAAACTGAAATATATATTGTTAGAAAAATGAAATGCACAGGGCATAGCTGTCTTGGATAATGTGCCTATTAAGGTTTTCATTAAAATAGCTTAAATCTTTTTAGGGCTAATTAGGATGGGTGAATGAAAGGAGTAGCCAAGAATACAAATCTATTAATAAAATTTGATATTACATGAGATAAAGGAAAAGCAAATTATACTTCTACATTTTAGAAGTGCCTGTTACACTCACAAACCATTTTCTTGATAATGAGATTATTAGAAACCCAATATAGATTGATCTGAAAATATGTTCCATTAACTAAAGTTAAGACTTAATTTGAATATATACGCATAGGATTATACTCTGTTTGCTTGACTGGATCAATTTGAACCTTCACTATATATGTGGATGTGCCTTGCAGAAAATGCTCCATAATTGTAATTATTTAAATGCTGATCATAAAGATTGTCTGATAGTTCCCATATATGTTGTTCCATTGTATGATAAAAGAATCTGCATTGGAAAAATCACTTTTTCCAATGAAGGCCTGTATAGATTCAAGTCAAGAAAGCCATTCCTAATATTCTCTCTTAATTATTTCAGTTAAGAAAACCTTTGATTGAAAGGAAGCGAAGAGAGAGGATTAACAATTGTTTGGACCAGCTCAAGGAAACAGTTGTTGGAGCCTTTCGGCTTGATGTAAGCATAGATTTTTAACATTTTTCTGCTCCCACGTTTCCTTATATCCATCTGTATTTCATTTTTCAGCTGCTTTCAAATAGGATATGATAATAATTCTTGTTATTTTATTTTAAAATAGCAATCAAAACTTGAAAAAGCAGATATCTTGGAAATGACAGTAAAACACCTACAGAATATCCAACAGAACCGAAATATAGGTAAGTTGATGTTCTGTACCTATATATTGACTGCAGCTGCTCCTGTTTTGTATATGAAACCCAGCTTAATAGCTTGGCAAAGTTATTCAAAGAAATAATGAAGCAGGAATGAGATCGGGAGAGGGAGAGAGAGAGAGAGAAGAAACAAGGTATGTATATATTTAGCTTCAGTGAAGTTGTACATTGTATAAAATGATGACATAATAAGGTTATTTGGGAATTGACCAGAGATGTCCACACAAATAGTTTTTGAATTTTATTGGGTTCAAGATTCTCAGATATAAACCTCCCTGACCCTCTCCCCCTTTTCTCATTGTTCAGAGGATACAGTGTGTTCTTCAGAGTTAATGTCATAATACTGTCTTACCAACGCAATGCCTGTTACTGTTTCAGCTAGATTACCCATGTGCCTTAGCCTTCATTTCACAACTTAATTAACCCTTTCTGGATCCTTTAATTTTCTGAACTTCAGTGTGGGCTGAGGCCCAATCTGTGCCTCCTGCTAGGGTCCTTGAATTACTTGCCCCCGCCTAGCCTGGCACTAGGTGTGTTCTTGATTTTAGTTACTACAAGCCTTTGATTTCCTTGGAGCTGTTGGCTGTCATCAGGCTTCAAGACAGACTTCCTGCTAGCACCATAATTCTAGGAGAAAGAGCAGCCCATTCTCTTTCAAATCCTCTTCTACTGCAGCTAAAGATGCTACATTTGAGCTGCCTTGCTTAATGTGGCTCTGCAGTATATGGCATTCTCTCTTCCACAAGAAAACCTCATACTTCAATAATTCATGTGAGAATAGATATCTTTTACTGTATCATACTATTTGGTTGTTGTCAGGGTGTGAGCTTCTTTGGTACATAGATAAACCACAAGGAGAGTCTCTGTCCTTATGCATTTGTATTGACACTGCCTTGTGTCTTACATCAGAAATGGCTACTTCCAGAGAAAGTTCAGTCAGAGTCAGGCCCCTTAAAAATAGGGCTCTGACATAAGAACTCTTAAATGGTCAGATGATTTTTGGAACTCTGGAATCTCCCTATCTCTTTTGGTCCTTGTTTTCAGATTGGTCAGTAAGGATATAAGCCTGAGTGGAATAACCAGATGGAATATCCAGTTAGCCTAGCAAAGATTTTCTTAGTTTGTGGATGACTTTCGGTTTCCTTAGTCTGAATTTAGGAGACTCCTATTTCCTACTAGGAACCCTAGATATTTCACTCTTGAGATTCTAGGCAACATTTGGCCACTTTTATTCTAAGCACCTTTATATAATTTAAATAATTACTTATGTGCCTGGAAGTTCTTCTCAAGTTAAACTACATACAGTATAACTTCATTGGTTTATTACTACAAAGTATATGCCTTTCTGAAGCTCCAAGTAGCTTTACTATTATTGTAGCTTTAAATATAACAAAAAACAAAAAACAATTAATACAACTTTAATCAAACAATTTGATCTACCACCATTTGGAATTGCACAATCTTATTTCTTGCAAGATATAAAAAAATATGAAGAACTATATTTTAATTGTGCTCTGAAAACGAAAGTTAGCAAACAGTAGTCTACCCATCTGGGATTTAGCTGTCCCAAAAGAAGGTCAGTAGATCATCACTGTAGGTTTTATATATTTTACCTTGCCAGGACGTTATGTATAAATCTTTGAAACATAGCAGGGCCCTGTGTGCTCTGAAGGACAGTTTGCTAAAATGAAATAGCTTTGGAGATAGTGAGTGCCTTTTTTTTTCTTTTCTTTTCCAGTGATATTTGCCAAAATCTTTTGGTTAGAGTGACATATGGGGTCTTAGTCTTTCTAGTAAATTGAGGCATTGGATAGCTAATGAATTTAGCAACTAATTTCACTTGTCACATGTCTGCACAGAACTGAATTTCAACACATGGCTTGGATACTAATATATTCAATCACTCTTAATTTCAATTTTTTTCTCTTTGGTAGCCAATAAGATCTTTGCCAGATTATTCTGTGTCCCCTTTACCGGTATCAGTGATATGTATCATTAATATAGTTGCTCCATTTACCTTGTAAAGGTAGTTTAGAAGTTTGGAATTGTTTTTTTTTCAATGTTTGAAAAGAGTCTGGTATAATTGGGCACCCTTATATCAAGCCTTTACCTTGTAACTCTTTTCTCCTTATTAATTAGTACTCTACATGCCTGACAGTGCCTACTGGGATCATTTTCTATTCACTGCCAGTAGACTTTATGTAATATATGATAATCATATATATGGTAGAGTGTTCTTTCTCTATTTAAATGTTCCTCAAAAGGTTTTTATGTACTATCTGGAGAAGTAACAGCTTTTCCTTGCACAAAAAGATTTTCATGTAATAGGTTCAGAATGTTTTTTTAATACATTTATAAATGTTTCCAATAGAAGAGAATATATGGAGCTCAGTGCTGAATTGTACAGTCCTTGTTGCTCTCTGAGCTTGGTTGTTTGCTTGCAGACACTTCATTACCCAACTAGATAACATAATCAGTGCATGGCATAGGGTAATGAAACATCTGTAAACAAATAACCTAGTTCAGAGAGCACCAAAAATTCTACAATTCCTTTGTATTAAGTTAAAAGAATAATTATAATCTAGGTTTTTTTTATCCATTTCATGTCTATTTGCAAATGACTGGATCCTGATAGATGATCCAAAACAGGCATTTAAAGTCAGAGCAATACCTACTATTATGGGGAAAGAGCCAGTTCAACAGATTTGAGTTTTTATGCATTAAATTATTGAAAGCATCTCTCTTCCTCATTTAGCAGATTCTAAAATGGGTCTTGAAGCTCAGCAGAGGTACAGCACGGGATATATTCAATGCATGCATGAAGTCCACAACCTCCTCCTGACCTGTGACTGGATGGACAAGACACTTGGAGCACGATTATTGAACCATCTATTGAAATCCTTGCCCAAATCCAATGAGGAGACTTGCAAGGTGGACCTGAACTCTTCCACTCCAGTGAATGGCAAGGGAAATACAACAGGGTCTAGCCAATCTCAGGATCAGTTGTATCCAACTGAAGTCAAACTGGGATTGAAAAAATCATTTCAGTCACAACCATCATCTCGATGTAATCAGCATGAGTTGCCACATCCCAGGGAGAATTTGCAACGTCATTTTGCACATAATGGTGTTAACATGGGGTCATTGGATATGTGGAGACCATGGTAAAAATATCTTGGGGGAAAATTATTTCTAATCTTAGACTCTCTTTTATATATATCTTATAGATATGTCTCTTTAAAACACTTTTTGGAGCAAGTCTGCTCCTGTAGGTGTACTAAAGACCAGGGTACTTCAAGCCGGAGGAAATCTCTATGTAGCCTGCATTGTACAAGGCTGCTATTCTATTGTATTTATTGAATACATCTAAATTATTTTACAGAATCTTCTCTGGGGCTGCCTAGTATACAATATATGACATATAATATTCCTTTTCCTATGCTATTAAAATTAACCAAGGATTAATAAAAATATTTAAAAAATACAAGACACCCTCATTTGTCTCTGGTTTATATGATAATTTTCTAAACTCTCCCTAACACATACACTCTTCCTACCTGACCCCTTATGCCCCTACAACAATAATATTATGGAAATAAACAGCATAGCTTATTTCTATTAATTCTGTGAAAATAAATGAAAAAATCATCTTGTATCTGGCATCTTGTTTTCTCCTGGCTAAATGCTTTAAAGAAAACAAATGGGGGAACCCAAACACTTTTTTTTCACCAGTCACTTCAAATAATTCAATTTCTCAAGAATGTGCTGACTGTAGAAGCTGGGATCTTTAGGACAAAAAAATTATGAGACTTGTAAAGTTTCAATAGAATAATAAAAATATTGCTTCAAGTAGCCTGTGAACATATTGCTCTCTATTTTTATAGACTGTTTTAGTTAAGCTGCTAATATATTAGTTATGGGAAGCGTTTAGGTTTGTTTTTTTAACTACATGGTTACATTTCCTTACAGCAGAAGACTCCTGAAACCCTAAATATACAGTAGAAAAATTATGTTGGCACAAGCTGATCATTTGCTTGTCTTACATATAGCACACAATCCATTTCCTTTAATCTACCAGCATTTCTATTAAAGATCTGTCTATCAAAAATTCGATGGGACATGAAACTCTTAATAACTGGCATCTTCACACTGCGAAAACATGTTGTTACATTTCTTTTAATCAAATGGATGCTGCCAGACTACTCATATACAGGTAGTTCTCAACTTACTTACTTACTTACTTACTTCGAAGTTACAATGGCACTGAAAAAAAGTGACTTATGACCGTTTTTCATACTTATGACCATTGCAGCATCCGTATCATATTTGTGACGGTTGCGGTGTCCCAGGTTCATCTGATCACCTTTTGTGACCTTCTGACAAGCAAAGTCAGTGGGGGGGGGCATTTAACAACTGCTTTTCTAACTGAACAACTGCAGTGATTCACTTAACAGCTGTGGCAAGAAAAGTTGTAAAATGGGAAAGAACTCACTTAACAACTGTCTTGCTTAGCAACAGACATTTTGGGTTCAATTGTGGTTGTAAGTGGTGGACTACCTATATTGAAAGTACTTAAAATAAGCACGGTCCTAGGTTACAAATCTAGGTAGTGCAATTTATTGCATAGCATGGATTAGATACTATTTTCTTACTAATGCCATCACCCCAGTTAATCCTATAATTTTTCCCCAATTTAGTAATATATGAAAATCTGCGTTCAGTTATCTGAATGCTGTGGTATAAATATATTTTTTTAAAGTCAGCCTTTGCAGAAAATCTATTACAGTATTTTAAAATAGCTGGAAGCCTGAATCTAAGTCCACATATCAAATCAACATTACTATTTCAGATGAGGAATGACATGTTCATGCCATTAAATATATGTACGACTTATCTCCCATAGATTTTTGCCTGGCCAGTATATGCCAAGAGAGTTGGCTGGGTCTCTTTGATTAATCAGTGGCATCTATCAGGGCTAAGGTAACATGTCTTTTATGTCATGGTGCCTGCCTCTGGAATGAGATCTCCCTTAAAATCCATGTTGTCTGCACCCTATTAGCATTCCATAAAGCCTTGAAGACCTATTATTCTCCTGACTTTGGGTTAGGATGGATGGGCCTGCTGTGACTATATTTTTAACACCATCAAACATCTGCTATCCCAAGTCCTTGGGAAGAACTTGATAGATGGACAAAAATACCAAATCCAGTCTAAACATTTGGCTGACTGTGCAACCAACCACAATAATAGATATAGAACAACTGTAGCAAAAGAAAGCAAAGATAGTACTAATAGTAAGAGGTGCCTTAGGTGCAATTCCAAAACATCTGGAGCACCACTTGAACACCATAGGCATTGACAAAATCATTACCAGTCAGCTCCAAAAAGCAGCTTTACTTGAAACAGCTTTCATCTTGTGATGATACCTTTAATATTATTAAACAAAAACATCTGCCTATCCCAGGTCCTTGGTAAGGACTTAATAGGTGGACAAGAATGCCAAATCCAGATTAAACAATTGGCTTGAGTGAAACAACCATAATAAGAATTTAAACTTGTATGTTGCCTGAGTATTGTGAACCAACTCAGGGGAACACTCAGTCTTCCATTTGGGCCAGGATTGATTAATTGTTTCTTTTTTCAGTCCATAACTACAATTCCTATTCGAAGCTGCATCACTTTTTTCCTTTAATGTCAAGCATAGGGAAAATCAGGAAGTCCAGAAACTTCAAATGGATATAAAGATTTATTGCAAGCTTAAGCTCTCTACAAGAATCTGAACTAGTAATGGTTAAAGCAAATCGGTGGTAGGTAAGAGTCAATGGATTCAAAGTGGGCTGGACTTTGCTCTCTTGTGGGTGCAAAGGGACGAGACTGATGACACATTTGACCCCTCCCTTGGGCTCAGCCTGGTCATTGCTTACATCTCAGTATCTCATATTCCCAGCCATATAATACCAATGGAAATCTATTGTTTTAACTATTCTTTGGTGTAACTGAATTATTTTTATTCTACAATGAACTAGTTCAAACATAGGTCTTGCTTGATTTACAGGGACTTGCTCCTAGATAAGTGTGCCCAGATTTTAGCCATCATCTCAGACAACTCCATGCAGAACAGCCTTTGCATCTGCCATTTTTTTATTTGTATGCAAAAGCAAAATTTTTTTGCAGCATCCTGTGGCCACATGGCCAGATTTTATGATGGTTTTGCTGAAAAGGGTTGGTTTTCAGCAATAAAATAAAACCAGCAATGGTTCACCAATACCATTGGTTTGCTTAATAGCAATGTTTGCTCTACAACTGTCACATTTGCTTAACTGCAAAAAAGGTTGTAAAATGGGGTCATGTATGACTTGTGGACAAGCTCTATTTCAATTGCAGGTATAAGTTTACCTGTATTATGGCTTCATATGTTGAATGACCCTAGCCAATGTTGCTTCCTTGGTGGATATGTAAGAAATTCTTTAAAGTTTACTACAATTTATAAGCCAGGAACAGTTTTGTATTAGAGCTTAGCAACAGCCCATTCATGACTTGCTCACAAATTTCACCATGATTAACATGTTGAGGCTTGCAGAAAGTCACGTGATAGAAAACCAATTAAATTTATAAGATCTCATAACTATATGCAACAGTTAATTATACCTGTTATCCTACTTTTCCTGCCTAAATACTTCATACAGCTGGGCTTGGCAGCTGTGTTCTTACTTGCAAAATATAACTAGGGCAATGTTAATGTAATTACATGATTTTAATAGGAGTCCAGAATGTTTGAGTGCAAACCAAGAACATGTACTTCCAATATAGTCCAATGTCTATTTCTTAGCAGACGATTTCCTATTGTTTACCAAACAAATCCCAATGACTAAGTATTGACAGGAAAAACTTACCTTAATAACTACAAGAATGTCAAAAGGGAACATGTATGTACCATGCACAGACATTTCACGATTAGGCACTGGATTATGAAAATGATATTATTGCTTTTGTTTATAAACTTTATAAATAATAAATCTTGTCCAACTCCCTGCAAAGCAGAATTCTATTATACCATCTTTCACTGATGTCTATCTAGTCACCTTCTAATAACCACTACTAAGGAAGTCTCACCATGCTTTAGTGATATTGTTCCATTGTGGAACTCCTTCTAATATTCTGCTTAAATCTCCTTCTAATTTCAATTTTTACTCTTTATCCTGTCCCACAGGGTTTATCTTGATTTATTTTAGACATTTTAGCTAGAGAGTTTCCACTATGAGGAAATGTAGTTCTTTTTGTCCAGTGACATTGGATGTGGTTTTAGTTTTAAAAGCCCTTACACTAGTCATGTTTTCAATATTAGAGGTAGGGAATTAAACGATGCAATTTAGAAGAGGGGATTGATGTATTCACCAAAGCACCTGAGGATAGGACAAGAAACAATGGGTGGAAGCTCATCAAAGAGAGATTCAATAGATATTTATGCACTATTGCTGTACCAATCTTTAGCACCCTTTTTCCTGCAAACTAATCACTAATCCATTTCCTTTCATCATACCTCATCAAACTTGCTTTCCAGACTCCTTTTCATCTAGCAGTTTCCCTTTGAACCTTCTCTACATCCCTCTTAAGGTGTGGTGCCCAGTTCAAAACATAATATTCCAAGTGTGTTATTACCAGTACAGAGTACAACAAAACAAATGTATCACCTTCCGTAATATGAAGGAATTGCTTCTGTTAATGAAACCAAGCTTGGATTGACCTTTCTAGCTGCTGCATCAACACTTCTTGCTCATAATAAACTAAGGATCACTAGAATTCCTAAATCTTTCTCTCATTGCTGTCAAGTCAGGTCTCCAGTATTTATTCTTTTGATATTTCATTACCCAGTTGCAAGATTTTATGCTTGATACCAGTGGACCCTATCCTATTGAATTGGGCTCCATTCAATCTGCTGAGCAAATCATAAGTTTGCCCTTTAAGGAATTAGCTAAACCCTGTAGCTTGGTGTCTTTCAGATTTAATAAGCACCCTCTCCATTCTACCATTAGATAGTTTATGAATATATTGAATAGCACATAGTTGAGCCCAGTGCCCTAGACAGATACCCATATCCATATGTCACTGTAAACAACTTACTAGTACCGTTTGTCCTATCAGTCACAAATTGACCAGATTGTAATATTTGGCTCACATGATGTACCTTGTCCAAAAGAATATCATGAAAATCAACTGCTTGATTGGGATCAAAATATAGGACAACTATAATGTTCCCTTGTTCTATTAAACTAATTACTCTGTCATAAAAAAGAAAAGGGTTGTTTCACATGATTTGTTCTTGACAAACGCATGCTAGCATTCATTCCTAGGTGCCTGCAGGCTTTGCTGTTTGTTTAGTATGTTGCTTACTTCAGGTATTAAATTGTCTGTAGTATCCAGACTCAAAAGT